TCATACCTGTCAGCAACGAAATCGCCCACGAATGCATATCTTTCCTTTCCTCTTTGACAAACACATTGACCGCGCTCATGTAACCGCAATCGCAGTGTTTTCAGGAAGTTTGGCAACGCGAGGAGCTTGTTCGCAGAGTCATCATGTGCGAGAAAGAGGGTAGGTCGCGAAACTAGAAAGCGGCTTTAGAATTTAATGCGTGGGAGATTTCGGCTTGCGGAAGCATTCGAACGTATCCGGCTTGGTTTTGTCGTTCCTATGGGAACGTTAAAGGAAAGAAAAAGTGTGAACGAGAGAGAAAGAAAGAGAGAGGAACGAAGAAGAATAGAGATATACCTAACTAGAAAGGAAGAAGAGAGAGAGAGAGAGAGAGAGAGAGAGAGAGGGATGGGATTCACGAATAAGTATGCGGAGGACCGAAAGCTCCGGGTTTTCACGGCGACGGCGGTATGAATATTTAAACGGATGTAAATTGCGAATTAACTATTGATAAAAACAAACCAGCTTGTGTTAAGCCTTCCTCGTAAATCACCCCCTATACGGAATGGAGAAGGGAGAAAGAAAGAGCGAGAGAACAACCGAGGAATACTGCACGAATTTTAGAGAAAAAAAGTTGTAGGGTGCCCTTTTCCAACGCTTACATCGATACCAAATATTTTTAGTGTTCGAATAAAAATACCCTTTATACGAGGAGCCATCATAAAAAATGTAATTCAAAAGAATTTATTTTTTATAACAAAAAATGTTTCTGTGATCAAAGCGCCTGATTGAGAAAATCAGAACGTCATCAACGTATGTATGTTAGTAATCTCTCATTCGCATAAATTTATTGCAATATGTATAACAATTATTATTTTATATCAAAATCTGATAAATATTTGCGAAGAGAAACTCGATGGAGAATTTTATTACCAAAATTCAGAATTTTAAAATAAATACTGAACGTTAAATTTTCAAGCAAATTTTTGGCATTTGATTGTTCGACACAATATAACTATAAATGAATGTCCGATCTCTGTCAAATTGAAATAATTCTCGTGTCAGCGTGACTTTGCGAATCGCCGATCGATGTCATCGCGGTGTGATTTTTTTCCTTCGATATTCGACATCAACCCAGCATTGTCGGCATACCGCGAAATCGCCGAATAAAAACTTTCGAGTCATGGCCGAGACATCGTTCAGAAATAAAACGTCCCGCAGGAGTAATATAGCGTTAGCCAGCTCTATTACCGGGAGATCTATTACCGGTAACGCAGTCACCATCGAGAAACCGAGTTACTATCCGCTATATCCGCAGTAGTTGCTCTCTTATATGCACACGTACGTACACGCACGAAAAGATTCATCGCGCGTGTACGCGTGCGGATGCACGGACGATTCGGGTAGAGAAGACGGCATACCTTGTATGTAGAGACCGTCCGGAGTCTGCAGTGAAGGATGAGACGGAGAAGGATCGCGATCGGGCGCGCGAGTGAGTGAAAGGGTACATGGGGGAAGATTATAGGCACGTATTGGCGCATCGGCCCCCTGGGTTCACCCCGGGTGTACGGGCAGGGCATGGGGATATAAATGTAATCCAGAACCCAGACGTGACGTACATAGCTGCCTAGCTCGGCCGCTCGCTTTTCGCCGGTCTCTCTTCTTGTGACTCTTGGCAGTCGCGAGCACGTACATCTACACGACGAGGCTGCGATAGCGAGACTCTGCGCATATATGAGTGTGCGAAGATATATGTATGCTGTGCGTGAGTGTGTGTAGGGAGAGGTGCACGAGACGAGTGGTCGATTTTTCGATATTTATACTTTTCTTTTTATTAGTGATTCCTCTTCGAAATGCAAACTCTTATGTGTTACGTGTTTCATTATACGTGCACTTTTATATGATTTCAATTATTAGTATTTTGCGCGAATGGACGTAAAAGAAATATCAGTGTAATTTTTTTTTTTTTAATATTAATATGAACATTTTGCAACGAAATTGTACTTTTAGGTGTCGTTGTTATTTTCAAGAATACATTTTTTACGATGTGCATTAGCAAATCCTATACATATCCTCTTATCAAATATCCTTGTCAAATATTTACATTAATGTCTGAAAATGATTACGCGACATAAATAAAAAATTGTCACCAGTGTAACGTGTATATATGTATATATATATCTTGTGCTCTCTTGCAAGTTGGTTTTAGAATCAGGAAGATTAAAGACGGAGTTCAATGAAACCGTGACCGATCAAGCGTCTAAAAATAATGTCGGTATGCCAGGATCAGCCGATTGAGAATCACGGACACGTAGGCGCTTAACGAGGGTGCTCGTGCGGAGAGAGCGAAAGGAGGACCATCGGAATATAGGCGACACGAGGCGGCGTATTATAGCTGCCGTCATTTTGCCTCATCGATGGCGACCACCGGAGACGGTATATTGTGTTCGCGCACATTCACGCTTTCCGCTTTATCGATTGTACCGTCATTGAAGATTGTAAGGTTAATTAAGCCCTCTCACTGGCAAAACGTAATTTGCCAGAGTCTATTTATATCTACTTCGGGACGTGTCGAGATTTCTAAATCCTCGGTTAATCGCGATGACACGTGAGATGCGTCAAATATATATAATTCACTAACGTTGTAAAGTGTATATGCAACTTTTATCAGAGTTTGGAATTATTTATAAACCTGACGTTTCTAATTGAAGATTTCTATATACTTGAAGATATCTATATATATATGTACGGTGAGGTGCTTTTATAACGAAAAACGCTTCTTGGAGATCGTTTTTCTTTTGAAGGACCAATATTGCACCTACCTTTCGTTGCTTCTGGCCATATTCTGGTTCAACCTCCAAAGATCGAAAAAGAAGAGAAATTCTCTTTCTATTACCGGCCACGTTTATTGTCACCGACAGATAAGCGCAAAGATTCACGATTTATTAGACCCGTGTGTCATTATCAAAAAAGATACATGTCATTGTCATGTAAAATATTAATTGTAAAGTTTTTTTCGCATAATTTTTCGATTTAAAATGAAGCACAAAACTTGAGAAGAAATTAGATAATGCACAGAGAAAATTAATTGTTCTACTCATTGTCAGAAAATGATTTCAATCATATATTGCAAATATCTGAAATAAAACTCTATAACGCAAACAATATGAATATGAAATTATATAACCATTTAAAAAAACGAATAAATTTTACGAGCGCAAACTGTGAATCGTAATATTTGTGTGGCTCGTAATTCCTTTTACATATATGTAATCTCACTACGCTCAGAAGCGAATCAGGTGAAACACTCATTCATAATAAGTGATTTGATATCAAAAAAAGATAACGAATTTAAAACATTTTTGTATTGTTCTCACACAATTTGTGTAAGAATATTGTATTAATTGATGATGGATTTTTTCATATTGTAAAAATGCCTTTATAAAATTTTATATCTATATTAATATCTCGTTATAATTTTTTACATATCTTTGTATTAATATTATTCTTAACATGATATATGTAAAAAGATATGTATACATATCTTTTAAAATTAAGCATTTAGTCAATCAATTTTCTTAAACAATCTATATTGCACATAAACATTTCTTATTTCCGCAATAAAACTTTGCGAAATCATTATTTTTAGGATCTCATGTTATTTTAATATAATTTAATTGCTCTTTAACTCTCTTTACTGATAAAAAATCAAGTCATCAATCAATATAAAATAGGTTATAACAAATTAGGATGAAATCAGTGCATAAGTTATTATATACAATAATTATCTTAATCATTTACATTACACAATTAAAATTAAAATTATTAACATGTTTTTTATGAAATAAATTAAATAATATCTATTATATAAATGAAATGTTTTCTCGTTTTTTTTAAGATAAAATATTCAACCTAATTTGTTCTACCATTTTAAGGCAACGGGTTTATCTATAATCTACAATCTACATTTCTACAAATCTGTTGTCTCAAACTAAAATAAAAATTTTTCATCCTCCTCCTCTCAGGTCAGTTTAGGGTTGTCTTCAGATACGTTTACATGCGCGACTTTTTTTAACTTTTAACGCACCCCTGCATTTATACGCGCGATACTTTAAATCGCACTCTCGCATTTTTAAACTCATAATATTTTGAATAAAAACTTTCGAAAAACACGATCGAAAATAAGGCCGTTTCGTACGAGAATCACTTTGAACACATCGACAAGACATGTCCGTTGGGAGGGGTATATTATATAGTTTCGAAATATAATATCTCATTTACGTGTTTCTAATTATGATAATTAGTGTAGGAAATACTCGCGTGACTCGTAATTCTTGTTGCATGTTATCTCACCACGTTCAGAAGCGTTTCAGAAGGTGAGACATTCATAATGAGTGATACGAGTATGATGAGATCAACGAAAGAGACAACTTTACAACATTCCCGCATAATTTGTATGAGAATGTTATATTAATTGTAGATTTTTGATACTACGCTTTATGAAATTTCGTATTAATATCTCGTTATAACTTTCTATATTTTGTATTAACATTATTTTTTACATATGTAAAAATATATACATATCTTTTAAAATTAACCGTTTTGCTGTCAATCAATTTTCCAGAACAATTTAAATAAATACATTTTTATTCTCGTGATAAAACACATTTGCGAAATATCTCATATTATTTTAATATAATTTAATTGCTCTTTTTAATTCTCTCTAATCTCTGTGATATAAAATCAAGTTATCAATCAATAAGTTATAACAACTTAGGATGAAATCGATGCATTATAAAAATAGTTATTACATAATTATCTTAATCATTTACATAATTAATAATTATTAGGGTATTTTTATAAAATAAATTAAATAAAATGTATTATGTAAAATGAAATGTTTCTTTTCTTATATAAAATATTTCATCAAATTTGTTCTTTTCCTCCATTTTGAGACAACAGGTTTATTTATGATCTACAATCTATACATCTACAAATCCGTTGACTTAAAATAAAATAAAAATATCTCACTCACCGATCGATGAGCAGCAGTGGAGTTGACACGCTACATGTAGAAATCTATAATACATAAATTAAATTATATAACACATCGCCCAAAGTAATCAATATTTCAAAAAAGTATTACACGCACCGAATTTAATATTCGATTCATGCAATAATAAATAGATATAATGAAATATAATGGAATAATTTTATAAATACTGGAAAAAACCTCTTTTTAAGTAGAAACTTTTACATCATTTATATAAACATTTTATTCTCTCGTTTTCTTTTGTTTAAACCTTTAAAATAAATGAACCGAATTACTGCGCAAACAAAATTTATAACAATTAATATATAAATGATAATACTAACCCTAAGGTTGTTCTGTCGATGCCCGATGCCTTTCCTAGGCCTCCTTTTCCGCTCAAGACAACTTCAGTACGTTGTTTCACACGCGCGACATTTTTAATTTTTAATGCACTCCCGCACTTTTACGCGCGATACTTTAAATAGTACTCCCGCACTTGAATGTGCGATGCTTTAAACGGCACTTCCGCATTTTTAAACGCGCGATGCTTTGGACAAAAACTCCCGAAAATCACGATAAAAAATAAGCCCATTTGTACGGAAATCACACTTTAAACATACCGACAAATTGTATAGTTTTGAAATATAATATCTCTTACGTGTCTCTAATTATAATAATTGTAGAAAATAATCGCGTTTTTCGAAAAATAATCTGCCGAGCAGTAACCTTTATCTTCGAGTTTTGAATACCAACTGACTGAATATGTCAACAGTACGGGATGAAGGCAGCTTCGTATGACAATACCATAATTTGTTGTGAGTTGTGACCCTGAAATATTGAGCACATACATATTTTATAATATAAATAAATGAATTTATGCTGAATATTTTGTATTTCAAATAAAATTTGATATATCGTCGTAAATAAAATCTAAAGTTTATTAATTATTAATTAAACAATTAATATATCATGCGACCTTTGTTATGTACGTTAATCACTCGATTCTGCTATTCGTCTCTTATTATGCATTGCCTATCAAAAACAAATATTACAATATATCGATAAAAATTTTAAAAATATCAAAATTTATTTAACATATTTAATATTGATTCATACAGGATTGATACATGTAGGATAGAAGACATAGGATGTCAGAAAGACGAGATATAAACATTATTTTCTACAGAATGAAATGTGACAATTTTCTAACTTCAAGTTATTGTTAGAAAAAGAAATATTATCTGTAAAAGTCACACCGAGATAATAATTTGTAATTTTTATCTCTGTTACTTCGACTCCTACTTGAAATATTCAATGACCGCGCGGAATAATATGCGCCTCGATAAAGATCTACATATCATCACGATACAGTTATGCATTATTTATTAAAAGTTAATTATCATAATTAGTAACATTTCCCGCTATTTTATTTATTCGATAACTCTTTTAATCATTTTATTTCCGCGTGAAAGTCAATTCTAAATTTTTTTCGTACGGAGGAAAGTCATCCCCTTGGATTTATTTTGTACCGTCGATTTCTAAAAGTCATCTCCCCCGATCTAACTAGATATTTTTCCCCGCTAACTGCCTATTATATCGTCGATCAAAATAGCTACGTGCCGTTGTCTTTCGATGGCCGTGTCGGAGCCTGACCCCGGGGATGATAAACGGTGCTTTTCGGACAGGGTGTCGTCCATTAAATGTTAAATGGCGCGCGAGGGACATCAGATATAGAACTGGCGTTTATGCGGCAAGAGGCGAGAGATCGCAAGAGCCCAGCCCGCGACGACGCTTGTGCGAACGTAGGCGTCGCGACGGCTGACGTGTTGTTTGGCTTACAGGAGGGGTGCGTCTCGCTGCGCCGGCGATGGTATAACTACACGGCGCCGAGTTATTACTCCATAACCCCGGTTGCTTTTGCAGGCACAACCGACGAGATAGGCGACGGTACAGCGAGAGCGCGAACAGCAACACGTAGCGTGGCATAATAAACGGCCGACGGTATCATTAAATCGCAATAATGCCGCATGCGCGTTAGTTGAACACTCGTTACGGCGTACAATCCCGGTCCATTCGTCTGCACGTAGGTAGGTAGGAAAAAGGCGGATTAATTATAAAATCCGCTCGTTCGTGTGTTTTTAAGTCAATTTAAATGTCCGATTATGTATAGCTGTAACTATTCGATAAAAAGACAGATCTTTTTTTACTGAAAATTGTCACATTACATTGTGTACAGAATAATTTTTTGTTTACACGTTTTTTATGTATGTATCAATATTAAACAAATTTATGTGTTGAATAAATAACAACTTTAATATATAGATAAAAGCATAGAGCAGCACATATAAACATTTACTAAAGAATATATATATATATATATATATATATACAACTATTTTAAAAAACACTGTAAATCTTCTTATATTGAATATTATTGAAATATAAAAAAGTGTTATATGTAACGAAGCATTATAAAAAATTTAAACTGGCTAACATATTTTTCGGCTTACTGTCTATCTATTAAAGTTAGATGCAGAAAAAGATATTAAATAAAATGTTTACAATTTTTATATTTTTATTATCTTTTATAAATCTTTTATCTTTTAAATTTTATTCTTAATTCTTGTCTATATTTATAAATCTTAAGTTCTCTATATTTTTTAATTCAACATGTGCTTCTTTATGATTCTAATATATTAATTTTAAATTATACAGAAATTTTGAATTATTTATTATTCTCTGCATTTTAATTGTGCACACATTTCGTTTTACTGCGATTCACAGTGATATCTTTAGTTGTTGAAAAAATCTTGTTAAAACTTCATGAAAATTTTTATATTATTATTTTATGCTTCTTTTAAAGTCGGTATAAAAAATAATCACATTATAGTTAGTTATAATGACACGCATGCCGATCATTAAGCACTTACCAACTCTAATAGCAGCACTAGACAATTTCACTGACTTTAATCATGATAGTCGAACGATGTAAATTGTTGTGTAACTATTCTCTACCGACACTTCGCGATATATTATAAAACGGAACGCGGTAGACAAATTTTACAAGCTTTTAAAGAACATAAATATTTGCTACGGAATGTTTGTGTAATCATAAAATTTATTGAATTTTATTACTAATATTTAAATAATAATTTTTTAGAAGTATATGTAACTTATCAAAATATTTTGTATGATCGATATAATAAAATTGTTTAAAATAAATTAGCTTGTGTGTGCAAGAGACAATAGAGTGATAAATGAGAAAAGAAAACAAGAAAAGAGAGAAGGTAGAATATATAAAAATATAATATTAGACACAGAAACAAAATAAAAAAGGAAATGGAGAAGAAAAAAAGAGAAAAATAATCAATGATGATTAATTCAGGTAGTATAAAAACTTTGCAAGTTCCAAAGTTAATAAATTTGATTTGAAGAAAGACTAAATCTTTCTAAACCAATTTTCTAGATTAAAGAGAAGAATTTTAAGAGCTCAGCATAATGCACTTGTTGTTAACTGATAATAATTTTTATATGATTATTAATTATCGCAACATTTATCCAATAACTTCAGACTAAACTGGTAGTCTCTTAATATAATATCTTCAATCAATAATTTTTAATGTGATAATTCACGAAAATAAAATTCTATTTTCATCTCATTTTATAAAATTCAAATAATATGAAAATAATGAAAAATTATGCGTCATTACCATGTCAATACCATTATGATTGTCATTACCATAATGATAGAATTAATATAATATTTTATTTAAGATATTTCAAGATTTATCTCTTGTTCAATAATACACTGCCGAATTTTAATATGAATAATTATCGAAATTACTTCATTGACATTGATTGCGATTTTAATTGCAAGAGTTTAACGAAGTCAATTACTGTATGTATTGCATATTTCTGAAAATTGTTATCTTTTACATACACTTATATATAAAATGTTAAATTTTTTTGTACGTTGCTTTAAAATTTTGTTGCAAAATCTGTAAATATGATTTATTTATGATTTTCTTATTCATTACAAATCTTTCTATGAGATAAGCAGTTCCATTCCTGTCTATGAGATAAGTAGTTTTGGAAAAAAGGACTTGCAAAATTTGTGTCACCACGAAGTGGTGCATCCTCATGCTTGCTTACTTTCGGACGTTGCTTATGCGACATAGGCAACTTCTCCATGAAATATATACCGACCCACACATGCGTACACAACGCCCGTTTAATATTCAATATCTACGCCACCGAGATCCAAGATTCCGAGCTCGAGATATTCATTCCGCTGTATGTGTTCGTGCGAAGGATAGGTACTTACGTATCTGCTCGATTACGTATGTGTGCCGGCGTTCCGTCGTAAAAAGTCGTCCATGCTGCAGACGCGACTTGCTTTTTATTCGGCTCGGTAGATCGCTTTTTGAATATTCCGCGACGTACGTGGATCGTCGTATATGTGGCTTGTAGGCAGGTGTTACGGAATCGCAGCAGCGCACACATATAACCGCGAAAACAGAGTGATAAGTTGCCAAGCGCAGCCGTGCCATCGTTCACGAAGGATTTTGCGATCTGTAATTATATAACATAACAATATAATGTAAAAAAATATAATTTTTAACCAGAATATATATATATAAAAAATATTATATAAAAAATCGTATTAAACGAGATATCTGTGTTAAGACATGAGATATGTCCGACTATACAGTGTCATTTCTACTTGCGGGTTGCATATATGATGATCTTGTTCTACTTGTTTTTCTATACTTAATCATAAATTAATTTGTGTATCACAAATTTATTTGTATGTCATAAATTCATATCAAAATTATCTTAAGAAATATATTCAGATCGATCTGGTGTTGAATGCAATTAAAGTTTCGTTGAATAAAGATAATCTTTGAAACACATTAAAGCAAGGCATAATAATAAAATGTAAATGTGATTTCTAACTAAAATATACATATAAAAAATGTTATACAAAAATCGTATCAATCGGGATAACTGTGTTAAGGCATAAGAAATGTCTGACTATACAGTGTCATTTCTACTTGCGAACCGCATTTATGATGATCTTGTTCTACTTGTTTTCCTATACTTAACCATAAATTCATTTGTGTATCATAAATTTATTTGTATATCATAAATTCATATCAAAAATATCTTAAGAAATATATTCAGATCGGTCTGGTGTCAAATGCAATTAAGGTTTGGTTGAATAAAGATAAATTTTGAAACACATTAAAGCAAAAGAAAACAATAAAATGTAACTAATGTAATTTCTAACCAGAATATACTAATAAAAAATGCTATACAAAAATCGTATCAAACGGGATAACTGTGTTAAAACATAAGAGATGTCTGACTATACAGTGTTATTTCTACTTGCAGGCCGCATATATGATGATCTTGTTCTACTTATTTTCCTATACTTAATCATAAATTTATTTGTGTATCATAAATTTATTTGTATGTCATAAATTCATATCAAAATTATCTTAAGAAATATATTCAGATTGATTTGGTGTTGAATGCAATTAAAGTTTCGTTGAATAAAGATAATCTTTGAAACACATGAAAGCAAGGCATAATAATAAAATGTAAATGTAATTTCTAACTAAAATATACATATAAAAAATGTTATACAAAAATCGTATCAATCGGGATAACTGTGTTAAGGCATAAGAGATGTCTGACTATACAGTGTCATTTCTACTTGCGAGCCGCATATATGATGATTTTGTTCTACTTGTTTTTCTATACTTAATCATAAATTCATTTGTGTATTATAAATTAATTTGTATATCATAAATTCATATCAAAATTATCGATTTGGTGTTGAATGCGATTAAGGTTTAGTTAAATAAAGATAAATTTTGAAACACATTAAAGCAAGACATAACAATAAAATGTAAATGTAATTTCTAACTAAAATATACATATAAAAAATGTATACAAAAATCGTATCAAGGGATAACTGTGTTAAAGCATAAGAGATGTCTGACTATACAGTGTTATTTCTACTTGCGAGCCGCATATATGATGATCTTGTTCTACTTGTTTTCCTATACTTAATCATAAATTCATTTGTGTATCATAAATTATTTGTATATCATAAATTCATATCAAAATTATCTTAAGAAATATATTCAGATCGATAATGCGATTAAGGTTTGGTTGAATAAAGATAAATTTTGAAACACATTAAAGCAAAACATAACAATAAAATGTAACTAATGTAATTTCTAACCAAAATATACTAATAAAAAATGCTATACAAAAATCGTATCAAACGGGATAACTGTGTTAAAACATAAGAGATGTCTGACTGTACAGTGTTATTTCTACTTGCAGGTCGCATATATGATGATCTTGTTCTACTTATTTTCCTATACTTAATCATAAATTTATTTGTGTGTCATAAATTAATTTGTATATCATAAATTCATATCAAAATTATCGTAAGAAATATATTCAGATCGATCTGGTGCCAAATGCGATTAAGGTTTAGTTGAATAAAGATAAATTTTGAAACACATTAAAGCAAGACATAACAATAAAATGTAAATGTAATATCTAACTAAAATATACATATAAAAAATGTTATACAAAAATCGTATCAAACGGGATAACTGTGTTAAAACATAAGAGATGTCTGACTGTACAGTGTTATTTCTACTTGCAGGTCGCATATATGATGATCTTGTTCTACTTATTTTCCTATACTTAATCATAAATTTATTTGTGTATCATAAATTAATTTGTATATCATAAATTCATATCAAAATTATCGTAAGAAATATATTCAGATCGATCTGGTGCCAAATGCGATTAAGGTTTAGTTGAATAAAGATAAATTTTGAAACACATTAAAGCAAGGCATAACAATAAAATGTAAATGTAATATCTAACTAAAATATACATATAAAAAATGTTATACAAAAATCGTATCAATCGGGATAACTGTGTTAAGGCATAAGAGATGTCTGACTATACAGTGTCATTTCTACTTGCGAGCCGCATATATGATGATCTTGTTCTACTTGTTTTCCTATACTTAATCATAAATTCATTTGTGTATCATAAATTTATTTGTATATCATAAATTCATATCAAAATTATCTTAAGAAATATATTCAGATCGATCTGGTGCCAAATGCGATTAAGGTTTGGTTGAATAAAGATAAATTTTGAAACACATTAAAGCAAGACATAACAATAAAATGTAAATGTAATTTCTAACCAGAATATACTATAAAAAATGCTATACAAAAATCGTATCAATCGGGATAACTGTGTTAAAACATAAGAGATGTCTGACTGTACAGTGTTATTTCTACTTGCGGTCGCATATATGATGATCTTGTTCTACTTGTTTTCCTATACTTAATCATAAATTCATTTGTGTATCATAAATTATTTGTATATCATAAATTCATATCAAAATATCGTAAGAAATATATTCAGATCGATCTGGTGCCAAATGCGATTAAGGTTTGGTTGAATAAAGATAAATTTTGAAACACATTAAAGCAAACATAACAATAAAATGTAAATGTAATTTCTAACTAAAATATACATATAAAAAATGTTATACAAAAATCGTATCAAACGGGATAACTGTGTTAAAACATAAGAGATGTCTGACTGTACAGTGTTATTTCTACTTGCAGGGCGCATATATGATGATCTTGTTCTACTTATTTTCCTATACTTAATCATAAATTTATTTGTGTATCATAAATTAATTTGTATATCATAAATTCATATCAAAATTATCGTAAGAAATATATTCAGATCGATCTGGTGCCAAATGCGATTAAGGTTTGGTTGAATAAAGATAAATTTTGAAACACATTAAAGCAAGGCATAATAATAAAATGTAAATGTAATTTCTAACTAAAATATACATATAAAAAATGTTATACAAAAATCGTATCAATCGGGATAACTGTGTTAAGGCATAGGAGATGTCTGACTATACAGTGTCATTTCTACTTGCGAGCCGCATATATGATGATCTTGTTCTACTTGTTTTCCTATACTTAATCATAAATTCATTTGTGTATCATAAATTTATTTGTATATCATAAATTCATATCAAAATTATCGTAAGAAATATATTCAGATCGATCTGGTGCCAAATGCGATTAAGGTTTGGTTGAATAAAGATAAATTTTGAAACACATTAAAGCAAGGCATAATAATAAAATGTAAATGTAATTTCTAACTAAAATATACATATAAAAAATGTTATACAAAAATCGTATCAATCGGGATAACTGTGTTAAGGCATAAGAGATGTCTGACTATACAGTGTCATTTCTACTTGCGGCCGCATATATGATGATCTTGTTCTACTTGTTTTCCTATACTTAATCATAAATTCATTTGTGTATCATAAATTTATTTGTATATCATAAATTCATATCAAAATTATCGTAAGAAATATATTCAGATCGATCTGGTGTCAAATGCGATTAAGGTTTGGTTGAATAAAGATAAATTTTGAAACACATTAAAGCAAAAGATAACAATAAAATGTAACTAATGTAATTTCTAACCAGAATATACTAATAAAAAATGCTATACAAAAATCGTATCAAACGGGATAACTGTGTTAAAACATAAGAGATGTCTGACTATACAGTGTTATTTCTACTTGCAGGCCGCATATATGATGATCTTGTTCTACTTATTTTCCTATACTTAATCATAAATTTATTTGTGTATCATAAATTAATTTGTATATCATAAATTCATATCAAAATTATCGTAAGAAATATATTCAGATCGATCTAGTGCCAAATGCGATTAAGGTTTAGTTGAATAAAGATAAATTTTGAAACACATTAAAGCAAGACATAACAATAAAATGTAAATGTAATATCTAACTAAAATATACATATAAAAAATGTTATACAAAAATCGTATCAATCGGGATAACTGTGTTAAGGCATAAGAGATGTCTGACTATATAGTGTCATTTCCACTTGCGTGCCGCATATATAATGATCTTGTTCTACTTGTTCTCTTATATTTAATCATAAACTCATTTGTGTGTAATAAATTCATTTGTATCTCATAAATTCATATCAGAATTATTGTAAGAAATATATTCATATCGATCTGGTGCCAAATACGATTAAGGTTTGGTTGAATAAAGATAAACTTTGAGACACATTAAAGCAAGAGAGATTCTGTTTAAAATTGGAACTTTTGATAAAGCGCGGGGCATTAGCTTCACTGCGGATCCCTTTCTGCTAACTAAACGAATACCACGATGAAATCGAATTACAATAGCAAATTCGCTGAATCGCGAAGAAATTCGGTCGCCGATAATCGATCTATCTCGCTGCGCCGCGCAGTCAGAGCATAGTTGGCCGATACTGCACGCTCGGCGATATTTCAACGGCATATCGCAATATTGTACCGTCAACGTTTATCCCAGCGTAGCGCGATTCCGTTGGTAATCATTTCTAGTCGAGCAAATATCGCTCGGCGGAACAGTTCATTCGCAACATTTCGACCCCAGAGAATTTAATCGTTAATATTTTCGGAAGCGCAAA